CATGGGTGGCGGGGGTAAAAGCACACGCGACCAGGAGAGGAAGTACTCGGGCGCGTAAACGAGATGATATATATATATATATATTATATATACACTTTCAGGGGGCACGCAGGGGAGGAGGGCATACATATATACATACAATGCAGCGTGTATCTGATACGTGCATGTGTATACACATAGGATGTAGCCGATGCGCGTCCAGACAGACAGACAGACGAAAAGGGGGTGACCCAGACACCCCCTCCAAAAGCCCTCGACGACTAACACACGCACGAACGATGCGCCCGATGTGCGTGGTATCGAGAGATGCGCCCTTCCAGCCCCCTTCCTACGTATATACGTATACCCTCCCCGGTGTTCTGGCGCTGTTATGGTTATCGTCGTAATATGGATACAAATCGGCATGAACGGGTATACGCGCGCGTACATCTTTTTTTTTTTTTTTTTTTTTTTGCAATAAAACCAACAGCCATTGGACGCGATGTCGTTACTGCTTCTTTTCTCTTTACGAGCACACACGTGTTACACTAATGCGTAACGAGAGCTTTTTTATTTCTCCGCGAGCGCTTTGTTCCGCGTGGGATTACTTTCCAAGATGATTATATAGATACTATTTCCCATACGGATGTTTTTATCAGTCAAATGAATAAGGTATGTATGTGGGTAAACACACGCTCTTGGCCGGTCGAGCGGTACATGCATATCCAATAACATCGAGCTTTCGCATGTATCCCCTCGTCGACCGTCGTGGGTGTATACCTATGTGTTATCGATCGAAAGGCCGAGAGTCGCGTGGCGCGAGCGATGCATATTTCACGAGGCTGACGGGGAACAAAGGAAGCGTCGTCGGGTGGATGAAAACGCGTACGTGTAGGTACGTGGGCTCCGTGAAAATTAAAAAACGGGGGAAAACGCGTGGGGACGAGAAAGATAAGGTGCACTGTGAAAGGAAGGAATAAGTGGTCGTCTATCTTTTTTTTTTTTTTTTTTTTTTTTTTTTTCATTCCCTTCAGTGGAGCCAAAAGAGTTTTCGAGGGAGATCTCAGAGAAGAGGGTACGCGTTCGAGATGCTGCCTCGAGATTATGGGTGTATAAGTACGTACGTGTGTGACACGCGAATACGACACGAGACAGAGTAACGGGATGATCGTTGGTTGGAGATTCGCCTATTTTTTTACTCGTATAGATGACAGTAATAACAGATGGGGGGGGGGGGGGAAGAATCATTCACACTGATGCACCATAGTCGAGACAGTGAAATACCCTTTAAAAATCTATTTTTCAGGGGCTAAAAATCATATATGTACACAAGAAGGACACGCACCCCCGTGTTTCGGCGCAACGAGAGCCAGCCCTCGCAGATTTACGCAGACGAGGTATTTATATTCTCGGCAAGAAAGTGTACGAACCATCCCCTTGGAAGCGAAATCGTCCCATCAAAACGAGGGTAAGAAAAAAAAGAAAAAAAAAAAAGAAATAAGAAACAAGGTGGGGGAGGAGGAGAAGCAGAAGAGAAAGAAGGGCTGCTGCAGGTATATATATATATATATACGTGTATCCTAATGGAGCGGGACCGAATAACAGCAGTGTAGAGCTTACGTGTAACCAAGGCTCGTATATACTTGCGGGCGTATAAGCGGAGGCTGGTTCGCGATACACGCGCATTTTGGAGAATCGGTCGCAGGGGAAGGAAGTCGAGGAAAGGAAGCTGGTGTGCACTAGGCGACAAAGAGGGAAGGAAGGAGCCAGCCAAGGGAGGAGAGGAAAGAAAAGTAGGGGAGGAGCTCCTCGGTGTTGGCCGTGGTGTTGCTGACCCGACGACCCCTGGTAACCTTGTGCCGCACTCTCTTTCGCGCATTCATATACCCGCGTATATAATATACTGATGTATTTTTTTCCCCCAACTCGGCTCCATTGGCTGACGGTGCAGAGGAAACGGGAGGACTGTCACTACGAGAGGTGAGTCAGTCGTCGCCCGCCCCTTTCTTTTTTAGGGGGAGTGCGAGGAGGCAGACGTTGCCCTTTGTCTTCGGCTCGAGAGGAGCCGATCTAAAGGCTCCCCTTTTCAGCTCGTGAATTAGTCACCGACTCATCCCTTGCTGTATACATGCAGGGAGGGTCTATCGACACCTCTGCCCCGGTGGGGCTTACGTCAAATTAAGCGCTTTTGTCGCCTCCGGAGACGTTGATGATCCAATGTATGGTTCATCGCCACGGACCTTCTTTACCCATTTTTTCCTTTTTTTTTTTTTTTTCATTCCGAGCTCGGTTCTACGCTTCGAGTACAGAAGAAAAAGGTGTAAGTTTCCGCGAGACCAAAAACAAAAAAATAGCCATCAAGTATGCAAGGCGCGCCCGTACGGAGCAACACATCCCCCGGTATAGCCGAGCAAATAACGCATGCACCCCCCCCGATGTGTGTAGATTTGCCTGTGCGTCTGACGAAAAAACAAAAAAAAAAAAAAAAAAAAAAGAGCCCTTTAAACTGCTGCTCCCGCGTGAGTTTTTCGCCCCTGCAGAAAACACATCCATACGCCTGTAGTGTACACTTGAACCCCTCGGCTACACGTATACGTCTACTTCCTTTTTTTGTTTCTGCTCCTCCTCCACCCTCTCAGTCCATTTACATTTGGAATTTTCCGAACAAAGAAAAAAACTCTCTCTCTCTCTCTCTCTCTCTTTATTTGGCAAAATGCACGTGATACGTACTTACGGTATGGAACGTAGAGACATAAATATATCGAAAGTACGAGGGAGAGGCAGTATGTGCGTGTGTGTGCATCGAACATCCGATCCCCGTCCATATACAGCGTGCCGTTCGAAAATAGGCCTGTACGTGGCCCCATGGAAGAAAGAAAGAAAGAAAGGAGCGTGGTGATGGTAGGCGCAGCAGTTCTCCACCTCCGTTTGGGCGTCAAGGTCGAGCTGCGTCTGGGTCAGGGTTCCCGCGCCTCTTCTCCAACGTTATTATATACCGGCTCCCCCGCTCCTGCGCTCCCCTTCTCCCTTGGCCCTTTGGCTATATAGATTTTTCTAAACTGCCTTTGTCTAAGCGCTCGGGGTATCGGGCGATTCAGAGGCGAGAGCGATGCTTTTTTCGTTTCAATTCGCAAGGTTCCCTATTTTTTCGAGGTATTCATTTTTTTATCCTTGATGGTTCAGGACTACAGGGAACATGAGAAATTCAACAACGGTCGCTACAGCTGTCAAGTTTTATAAACAAAAAAAAAAAAAAAAAACAAAAAAAAGCCTTCAACTCGGTTAAAAGCGAAATAGTCGTGATATTTTTAGACTTATAAATGATTGATATATATGTGTATTCTTTTGTCTTTTCTTTCTTGTTAAAACTAATGGTGAAATACTTAACAGCCGTCAACTTCGTTTTCAGTTACAAGGAAGTGGTATCACAACATGTATACTATAAAGAAACTACTTATACAAGTGACCAAAAAGGTTCTTACGATTAAAAATTGAGCAGAGCCAGGATTCAATTTGAACCAGGACCAATTACAGCAACTCTCCACCGTTTGAGTCGTTGCAGCCACTGAATGCTCCTTGGCCATCTATAAAATGAAATCTTAATTTAGCTTCATAATTTGATGTTACCGAGGGAAGGTAATACCGATAATGATGGCAATACAGATAACTATAGTGTGGGTAGTCCGCAAGGTAAACATTTTTTTTTTTTTTTTTTTCAAGTAACGTGATTTGTTGTACTGCTAAGCAATTATTTATATTTGTAAACTTTGTTTCTTTTCATAGCACGTAACGAATTATAGAAATTATCAAAATAGAAACCAAAGTATAACTACTTAACCTAATTTCTCAATAGGTTTTAAATTATATCAAAGTGACAAGAGCTCATATATATATACATGATTTGTATACAAATCACATAAATGGAGAATATAAAATCCAATATTGACAAAGTTGTTGAATACTTTATTGTAATATTCATATAAATAAGTTTCAATTTGAATGAAACTATCAACTTGGTTGACTAGCAGTGATAATGAATTTTACATGATGAATCGATTTGATCTTTGCTAGATACAAGAAGATTATTAAAGATTGATTTAAGAAATCGGGCACATGTACATACATACGAATATTTCCTATTTTGGCAATGGGTACAGGTAAATTACAGGTATCCAGCATTTGTCAATCGACGGTTAATGAATAGCAAGAAGAAAACAGATAACTGGTATTGATTCGGGAATGGAGAAAAGCCGATTGGCTAATTTTAGTCATTTTCATAAAGTAAATATTCATGTATTGAACAGTAAAGGTTTTTCGTGCTGCATTTCACCTGTGGCATGAGACTCCAACCTACAGATAAGAGCAAAGATGCTGTCTTCGCCTGTGAAAAATTGACTCGGGACTTTCATTTCTCATAACGGGACCAAAATGTTTAACAACACAAATAAATCCAAGCGAAACAGGAATATCTAACTTGTGACCCCTTCTCATTTGGCACGATTTACCACTCCCCGGGTCAAAATGTCAACTCTGGTGTTAACACCATGCCAATCATGTAAGCAGAAATCAACAAAAACTTAATTACCTTTCCTATCCTGGAACGTTAATATTCTCGGTTGTAATTTGCTAATCACTTCTTTCTTGTAATTATAATCTACACTTCCTTTTGTCAGCGTTCGTTGATTGAGTAAATTCCCGATTTCCGACGACAACTTCCCGTAGTTGTTGACGACATAGTGACTGAGTCACCAGATTTTGACTTCGCCTTTCGCCATGGCTGCATAACGTGCGTTTTGTTGTCTTTCTGGAAATGACGGCCGTTGCCCGGAGCGAGGGGTATTGTGACGTCGTGTTTCAGCCAGTTTGAAAACGTCGTTTTTTAGTTCGAAAACCGCCACGCTAGATGGCGTTGACTCCAATCTGAAGTGTATACGCATGCCATACTGCATAGTATAGACGTATATTGCTGATTTCAGTTGGCAATGCTGATGAATGTTTAGAGTTTAGAGGAGGAACGTCAGCGTCATCGACTATGGGTATAGAACAAACTCTGAAAACTACCCGCATTAATGTGCAATGCACTTTGTCTTGAAAGTATTTTCTTTGCAGATTGAACCCGATATTGTGCTTATCTTTTAATGACATACATCAAGAATTCGTGTAATCGTTATCGGTAAGGCTGTTTTGTTTTCGCTCGTAGTATTTTGTGAAACATCTAACCTCAAAGTTTCCGACCAATTGTTCTCTTGTATTGTTGTTTTCAACATTTTGCTTTTATTATTGTTTACAGTGCGACCGTGCGAGTGACTTTTTAATCTAGATGAGCGGTTAAAGTGGTTCCTCGTGCTTAAAAAAGTGCTCTCGGACAAGAAATAAATATGGCGCAAAGATTTCCGGTGCCTAACGCAGCGAGCAATGGGCCTCCGCCGCCGCAAAGGTACCCATCACCCTCGGTGCCACCGAATATGAGACAGTACTCTGGACCCAATTTTCCTGTAAGTTTGTCGTTAATATCAAGTATTATTCAGCAAGTTAGAAGTTAGGACAAAGAGTTACTTACTGTCAATGATAATAATTTTAGATGCAGCAAAGATCAGGCTTCACCCCACCACCACAGATTGGCTCTGGAGGACCTGGTCCTGGAGGCATCATGAGACCCAATCAGCCTTATTCAAATATGAGACAAGGCCCATTGTCGACACCTCCTGGTGGCAAGAGGAGCGCGGATCAGCGTTTACCCATACCACAGCAAAAGCCGTAAGAGTCATCGATTTTTAATGACAATGTTAATTTTTTTATCATTCATTTACATTTTTTATTTTCAAGCTCCAATTTTCATCTACCATTATGCATCTGTAAAATGTCAGATGGTTATGCGTAATGGTGGACAAAAAAAACCATACTATGATTTCAATGATGTACGGTTTGATTTCTTTTTTCAAGTTCTGCAAATCTGGAGCATCGGGTAGATCTCTAAATTCATTTCATGGCCCACATCTCACCATCAAAATTCTTCAAAATTTCGTTTTGGTTTTTGAATTCCGTCTTTTTTTTCTTTTTCCCTCTTGTCCGTTAAAAACTCATTTAGGTATTTTTGGAACAGTGACTTTTCACATTCCACTTCTAAAAAGAAGAAAAAATTAGCCGACAAAATTCTGCCGCAAAAAGTACGTGATCTAGTGCCCGAGTCGCAAGCTTACATGGACTTGTTGGCGTTTGAGCGCAAGCTTGATGCCACGATCATGCGAAAGCGTCTCGATATCCAAGAAGCGCTTAAACGGCCTATGAAACAAAAGCGCAAGTTGAGGATCTTTATCTCTAATACTTTCTATCCAGCCAAAGAGGCTTCTGAAAACGAGGAAGGTTCCGTGGCCAGTTGGGAATTACGAGTTGAAGGAAGACTTTTGGATGACAATAAAAATGATCCTAACAAGGTTGGCACTTACTAATGCGATTAAAAAAATTTATTTGTAATGATTAATTTTTATCATCTTGATTGTATTTGCAGGTTAAGCGAAAATTTTCCTCATTTTTCAAAAGCCTAGTCATAGAATTGGATAAGGATTTGTATGGACCAGATAATCACCTAGTGGAATGGCATCGTACATTGACAACTCAAGAAACTGATGGTTTTCAAGTAAAGAGACCTGGTGACAAGAATGTCAGATGCACAATCCTTCTACTACTAGATTATCAGCCTTTGCAGGTATAGTTTTTTAACATTTTCTCATTTTTTCATAATCTATGAAAATATTAATTTATTTTGTTTTTTTCAGTTTAAGCTTGATCCTCGATTAGCGCGTTTGTTGGGCGTGCATACGCAGACGCGACCAGTCATCATTTCGGCCCTCTGGCAGTACATCAAGACTCACAAACTTCAGGATTGCCATGAACGAGAATATATTAATTGTGATAAATATCTAGAGCAAATTTTTACTTGCCCAAGGATGAAGTTTGCTGAGATTCCTCAGCGTTTGAATCCTCTGTTACATCCTCCAGATCCAATTGTTATAAACCATGTTATTAGTGTCGAAGGTCCGTACTAATGAGTCGTTTAAAAAATATTTAACAAATTTAAAAAACTTGTCTGTTAAATTATTTTTAGGTACGGAAACAAAGCAGACAGCCTGTTACGATATTGACGTAGAAGTGGACGATACGCTAAAGACGCAGATGAACAATTTTTTGCTATCAACTGCGAGTCAGCAAGAGATTCAGAGCTTGGACAACAAGATCCACGAAACAGTCGAGACCATAAACCAGCTCAAGATCAATCGCGAGTTTTTCCTAAGTTTTGCCAAGGACCCTCAACAGTTCATCAACAAATGGATCATATCACAAACCAGAGATCTAAAGACAATGACAGATGTTGTTGGAAATCCAGAAGAAGAGCGCAGGGCTGAATTTTACTACCAGCCTTGGGCTCAAGAAGCTGTCTGTCGATACTTTTATACCAAGGTTCAACAGAAACGCGCAGAGCTGGAGCAGGCTCTTGGGATACGAAATTCGTAAAAAAAAATGTAATGTCGACGTATTTCTAATTTTAACGATTTATTATGGTCAAACACAATTGAGTTTGACTCAGTAAGATCATGAAAATGAGTTTTTGTAACTATTTTGAAGAATATTTTTAAGATAATAATGTAGAATGGACGTGTGATTGAAAGCGGATTCTGTGTATGGTAAAAACGTATCATTACATTGTAAATCATCAATATACTAAATGAGAATTTTATATGTAGGCTTGTAAAAAATAAAATTTTACTCATAATGCTATTTTTTGTTTCTATTACCCCTTAAGTTTCCCTTACTACTATTACTGAGCGTTTCTGAAGATGTAAAAATTTTTAATTCATCGAAGCATAATATTTAATAAAGATTTGAATGACGACGCAAACTTCACTCTGCAGTGGTACCAATACTATCATAAAAATACTTATTGCTATGTTCAGTCAGTACCTCACACGTTTCGTCTGGTATTGTCGTTTGAAGAATAATGGCAGCCGGGCCGATTGCTGAACGCAATCAAGGTAATTATTGCCATTTTTTGCATTTATTTCTTAAAAATTGAAACAATCAGCAACTGCTGTGATCAATTTTGTTAGAGAAATTTTTTTGTTGCTTGTTTTAAGTCATGCTTTATACAAAACAAGGCCTACAAACGTTATAACCTCTAAGTTTTTAATTTTGTATATCAACAAACCAAGCAAATATTAACATTAGTGTAAGAAAATTACTTGGATGTTCCTTCTATGTTTGTCTTTTAGAGAAAATACATTCTTTTGAATATTTTTCTTGTCATCAACGTCATATTAGACAAAACTTGCATAAATATTTTTGTGTTTAGATGCCACAATATACGTGGGAGGTTTGGATGACAAAGTCACAGAATCCCTTTTATGGGAGTTATTTGTACAGTCTGGTCCTGTTGGTAAGTTTTGTGTTTATAATTTTATGTTTACGGCAATAAAACGACACATCATGTATTTACCTACATTGTTTGCAGTTAATGTACACATGCCCAAAGACAGAGTGACGCAAATGCATCAAGGCTATGGATTTGTTGAGTTCATGGGAGAGGAAGATGCAGATTATGCTATAAAAATAATGAACATGATCAAGTTGTATGGAAAGCCTATTCGTGTGAATAAAGCCAGTGCTCATCAAAAGAATCTTGATGTCGGGGCCAATATTTTCATTGGTAATCTTGACCTGGAGGTTGATGAAAAGTTGTTATACGATACATTCTCTGCTTTTGGAGTAATCCTTCAAACACCGAAAGTAAGTTTAGCTGCAACGATAATTGATTGCATTTTTTTGGAAAGATACATAAAACAAAACCAAACTAATCTTTCAGATTATGAGGGATCCAGAGACTGGTAACTCAAAGGGTTTCGCCTTCATTAATTTTGCATCGTTCGATGCCAGTGACGCTAGTATCGAAGCTATGAACGGCCAATATTTGTGTAATCGACCGATCTCTGTGTCCTATGCGTTCAAGCGTGACGCCAAAGGTGAACGACACGGCAGTGCAGCCGAGCGTCTGCTGGCCGCTCAGAATCCACTGAGCCAAGCGGATAGGCCTCATCAACTGTTTGCGGATGCACCCCCCATGATGCCAGTGATGCCAAACATGCCCATGCCCCATCCCCCGCATCACATGATGCACGGTATGGTGATGCCACCGCCACCGCCACCGACGGGGCCGATGCCGCCTATGGGCAATCCTCCTCCTCCACCTGTGCCACCACCACCAACGGGCTTCCCGTCTGGCATCCCACCGCCTCCTCTGCCGCCGATGCCCAACATGCCAGCCCATCCTCCTCTACCTCCGGGCATGCCGCCACCTCTGCCGCCAATGCCCAACCAGCAGAACCAACAGCAGAGAATGATGGGGCCACCCCAGTGGGGCGCCCCGCCTGGACAATTTCCACCACCTCCACCACCCACCGGTGCTCCACAGTTCGGACAGCCCTTCCCGCCTCAGCCGCCTCTACCACGAGTACCACCAAACGCTTGGAGGCCCCCTCCGCCGTTCCTTCCGAGGAGTATGCCACCGCCACCACCGTAGCCCGTCAGTTGAAGCATTCAATGGCTTGGCTCTAGAATAGAGTTGCGGATGCTGAGGACTTGAATGAAGTGATTTGTAAGTTACTACGTCGTGCGTATGACTATGTGTGAGACGACGATTCGGTCAGTGATTTCATCATAAGTGTATAAATTAATTCAATGTCATTGACGCGGTAGGTTTACGTAGCTAGGAATTTTTCAGTGTATTTCAAATAATTAATTTTGTATGTTTAAAGGCGATTCTTTATTCAGTCGATACAATACATGAGAAACAGTACAACCATGTTGAAAGAAAAAAAAAAAAAATACCAATTTTGTATAATACATATTTTAAAGGGAAGCAACTAGTATGATTATATATTTAATAAATCTGACAATTGTAATATTGAGCTAGTTTTTATTTCTACACGGCCTCCGTTAGCATGCAAGTATACCGACCCAGATAACTTTTGCTCGACACGCGAAAAATAGTCTTATAGCTTCGATTGATGCAAGCTAACGGCGAATTTACGAGCAGCTGCAAATTTCGACCTAGTATATAGACACCTAGCTGTAATGATTACATATATATCCCAAATTTATTGCCTTTGATGGTTCATGATATCGCCCATACTCGGATGGCATTGGTTTGCCAATAACCCTCGTTCCGAGCTCTCGAACCCTTAGCCCAGATCCATCCAACTGACACGCATTCGGCATCTCAAATCCATACCATTTCATCCACATGTAATAAATTGCATTCGCGGAGCGGGGAAAAAAAAAGCCGGTCACGCACACACCGACGTACTACAGCAATATCGATCCGAACGCGAGGAAGTGTCCGCATCGATTATTTCACTAGCCAAGCTCGCGTGTTGGGCTGGCCGGTGGTCAGTGCTACGGGAACTAGTGCACCGACGACAAGCTCGCGGGACAGGAAAAATATCGTGTTGAATACTCGTATGCGCGCAAAATTTGCCGCAGATCGGTTGGAGCTTTGAGTGCAAGCGCCGATTTATTTGGGCGGCGGTGCACCATCGATGTAATTAGTATAGTTGGATTCGTACAAAAAATGCACGATGGGAAGGTGGACATCGTGTAGGTGGATTTTGCGGTTTCATCAAATGGCTGCAAAAAAAAAACAACTCTGTACTATGAATTCGCCCTTGGGCGTGTAAAATGTGTTGTGCGGACGCGTCGAAAGATCTTAACTTCACGTAGCAAAAAAAACAAACAAACAAAAAAATTAAATTAATTAATCAACAATGGCACATCGTAGAGTCCGTGCACTTGTTTAATTAAAAAAAAAAAAAAAAACATTCTCGCTGTTTGTGTGTGTGGGTGCACGTGCTACACACGAGATCAAAGACCCGTTAGTCCAATTTTCTTATAGCCGGCTGTATGATGCGTAGCCGATAATCGCATAAGGATAAAACCCACGGCGACGACACCGGTGGTCATATAGGATTAATGACAAGTGAGTGAAACACCGCCGCGACGCGGATGGGTAAAAAGGCATGGCTCGACTGTCGTACGAGTGCGTCAACGCGACCAAAGCCGAGGACCCGAAGCCGTTTCCCTGCTCGTCTGAGAAAATGTGCCTGTATTGTCCCAACCCCCAGTGTTGTTTTATTATGCAGCGGAGACCGCCCAAGCACTTTTGGGAGACTTGGTACTTTTGGCTCGGAGTCGTGCTCCTTTTGATCATCGTCCTGTCCACGGTGAGATGATTTTTTTTTTCTCCCCCCCATTTTATTATACGTGTTGAGGATCGGTAAGCGCGTACACACACAACCGGTCGCTTTTAATCGCTTGTTATTTTTGTCTTTCGTCCATTGAGTTCGGTTACGAGGATTAACATCACAGGGGATCGATATCCCATCGTGAAACCTATAGACGTATCCGTTGGACATTGTATTTGACGTGTGTTTACGAATGTTTTTCTTCTTTCATGTCAGCAATCAGGGGAAAAAAAAAAAAAAAAAAAAAACAAGGAATCAACACGATCGATACTTGATACGAGCGACTGCTGTACGGGTGTTATATATTGCAATGCTTTTGCTTTCATACATTATTTCAGAGCCACGTACGACGATTACGGCGTCGATATACGAGAGCGCGATGGTCGCATTGATAAGCAGGACAATTTTTCTCCCCCTTTCATGTACAAACGTTAAAAATAGAATGTTCAACAAAAGGGAGAGGTGGGGGGTGGGGGAGTTGTCAGCCTCGCTATAGGACGCGAAAAATAATCATCATCAATCGAGAACCCCGAAGCGATCGAACGAGCGTAACTCTTTATTTTTGGCGACTCATCGGAAGCCAAATGGCAAAACGAATTACATGTGTATACCGATCTGCCGATTTTTCGCGTCAACCTGAAACTAATGTATACGTTGCGAAGGTGGGGACGTACGTGGTGAGCAGCTGCAAGCACAACCTCCAGGCGATCGGGTACAGCGTCGGTAGTCGGAACAACGCCGGCAGCGGCAACTCGAGGATCTCGACTATATCGAGGTCAGTTGCCGATGTCGAGGAACAACAACAGCTGGAGGAGCCCAACAACAGGCACGAGATTTCCATAAACATCATACCGACCTCCGCTGTGCTGCCGACGCACAGGAAGATCATGTTCATCGCCCCGCAGTCGAGCTACGCTCACCTCAGTAAGTTTTTTTTTTTTTTTCATTTCCAGTGGGTCGATGAACAACGGAGAAATGAACACGAGTTTTGCATAGAACACAGGGAGCGCGTGCTCGAGCATTTTTTTTCTTTCTTTTTTTTTTTTTTGTATCCATGTACGTTTAGCGCAGCTTATTCTACCGCTCGGCAGGATGATCGTGCTCTCTGTAATTGTTTTTTTTTTTTTAATCTGTATATTTTACTTTGTTTGTAGTACACATGCGTATATATAGGTATAATGCTCGTTGAGCAAGAACAGTGACTAAGATTTCTTAACGATTCCAGCACCGATCGTTGCATGACACTCGGCGATCCTCCAAGTCCTGCTGTCCATCTCGACCAAGTGATGTACACGTATACGATCGCATGTACCATCCTCGAAGAGTATATATGGTATACATACAACTAGGAGAAAAAGAAAAAAGAAGATATCGGCAAAAGGAAAGAAGGATGCAAAAAAGATCGGGAGGGAGCTGTGTGCTCTTCGTTAACTGCAGAGGAGCCGATCGGAAGAGGCTGGGAGTGATTATACGGGAAAACTCTCTAGCGGCGCGTCTTTGCTCCCTCGTCGATGTGTACTTACCCTTTCCGAGATCTCCCGACGGCACTTGCGCGGCCGATCGTTCCTCTCTCTCTCTCTTATTTTAGACTCCACGTCCTCTCTATTTCTCTCGAGCGAGGACTTGCGATCGGCAAGAGAAAGAGCCGAGGCGCGAGGGAGACCTCTCAGTAATACTGCCGATCCGATCGTTTTATTTTTATTCTTTACTGCAAAGTACGAGCGCAAAGTGCATGATGGGTAAAAAAAAAAAAAAAAATGAGATGGAACACCGGTTTATCGCTATTTCCTACAATTTTTTTATCTTTCCGCGATTTTCCACACTCCTGGCGCCCCCTCCCTCGAGATGATCTTCACGGTTGCATCAAATTACAATGGCTCGAAAAGAAACTAAGTGAACCGAATAAAAATTGGATGCTTATACGCTGTAGCGCTCGCTTTTGTCGCTACTGCTTACCGAACTCCACCAATGTGAGAGAGAAGAAAAAGTAAACAAAAAAAAGTATGTATTAATGAGTGCTCACGTACATACAAGTAATGACATTCAATTGAAAAGAGCGTCTCGCGTTGAAACACCTTTCGAATCGCGCAAGCTCGGAACGTACAATATTTCAAAAAGAAAAAAAAAAATAAGACGCCGGTTGAATCGCGCAAAATTAAAGAGCGTACGGCAAAGAAAATGCACCCGCAGAAACGGACTGTCCTCGAGAAACAAAAAAAAAAAAGAAAACAAAAAAACAAAAAAACACCGCGTTCCGGAACACAGAGATCCTCCTCCTCCTCCTCCGCCCCATTAACAATTAAGAGAGAGAGAAAGCGCTTCCAAGCCATACATTATAATGTATACACGAGCGAGCGGGGTATTTGCCGTCGCGTCGTCGGGCAAACCTGTCGCGAATACCTGCGGCGAAGGAAGTTCCGAGAGCCGAGGAGACCTGAGAAGTAAAGAGAGGAGCTCGCGGTTGGAACAATGGAAGAGAGACACACCGCTGATGGAGTGGGGGCTTATTTTATTTGTGCATCTTTTTTTTTAATTTTTTTTTTTGGGGGGGGGGGGGATCAAGGAATCGTAACTCAACAATAGAGTCCGAGATTCGGATTGAGAGAAAGAGGAGAGCAAGTTCAAGGCGCACGAATTTTCATACCGTACGTTGTGTAATATATATACTCAATGAAAGCAGTAAATAATAAATGCTACGAAAAAGAAGGAAAATAAAATAACAGCTCGTAACGTTATACCGAAAACTTAAAAGTAACTCTGCTACAAAGGGAGCGGGCAAAAAAACCGGAGGAGAAAAAACCGTGCAGTAAAAAAAAAAAACAACTTGGCTAAAGAGGCCGGGGGGGGGGAGTTAATTAAAGTCACAGGGTAATCGCTCCATTATAGAGGCTGGGAGAGTCTTGTACATTACGACGACGCGTGGGACACGACCGTGGAGGGGGTTTTCGCTGTTTATCTCGATGCGACCTTTATCCCTACCTTACATGTATCTCTGTTGCACTGATTTTTTGCGAATCCAATATATATATATATAGGATTTACGTCTTTGTTACTCCATACGCGTTTTACACAGCTTTTCAATCGGCACGATTTTTTTCGAGGAATCGCCTGGATGGCACTCAATTTTGTCACTTTTTTTGAAAGTCACAGGGTATTTTGATCATTGCGTTTCACAGGTGTACCAAATAGAGGTAATAAGCTCTGCGTGGATTTGAATTTTAAATCTCGAAAGCGTCTCCAAGAGGATGCGTAAATTTATTTCGGCGCGGCACTCATAGTCGGGGAGTAAAAAAAATTCCTCAATCAAAGCCGAGATCGACAGTTGTTTTTTCTCGCCCCCTACACCGTTTTAAATTAGTTGGAGGCTTTGCAGTGAAACCGTTGATTCCGCGGTATAAATAAAACGTTGTAAAAAAAAAAGTAGCTATGCGATGCAAAAAAAAAAAAAAAAAAAATATATATGTATAAAGCGACTGGTGTGAAGTGATGATGGTAATCGGCGATGACATCACTTACTATGAGGAAAAGTAAGATGTACCAAGCAATACTTGTGACAAAGACGTCGATTCTTTTGAAGCACAGGTGCGTAACTGCGTATTATTGAAATATCTTTGCGCGAGGAGTAAGATAAATGACCCCAACGGACACGAGTGCGTTCGTTTAAGGAGCCGCGCAACTTTTTTGTTCATCTCCTTATTTCCTCGGCACGAGCGAACCGGCGCTTTTTACGCGATCGAGTAAGCGCGCGCTTTCGCTCGAGTGACGAGCAGAGAGAGAGAGAGAGAGAGAGACGTTCACGAGTATATGTACATTCGTCAAGAGCCGATGGAGAAGTAAAGCCAATGTATATTATACCCGTTGAAAAAAAAGCGAGACCAAATGATTTGTGTGTACTTGTTTGTACAGCGATTGTGATTAACGATACGATTGGATACCCCGTGTTTTTGTTTAATATATATATATATATGAAAACAGTGATTTAACAACGATAATACCAGCACTCGACGTAATCACGGGATAAAAAATCTGCTCGTCTGCTCGTTTAAATGCGAGAGATAACAAGCAACATCCACACGCGCAAGATTTTTATTATTATACGTGTACATGTTATAGATGTTTCTCCGCGTAAGACAAGTGTACACTTTGGTTATTCAATTTGTCGTATCGCAGTGGATTGCACCGGTTGAGATGACGTAACGAGAGCTCCGATGATTTATGTACGATATTGTTATCATCTTGCAATAAAACCGGTCTATATATATACATCACCTCTTGTTTATTTGTACATTCCTGGATACCTTTTAGGGGTAAGAACAACGGAAATAATCGAATCGAGGATGGCACTGCTGTGGTCCCACCCCCGTAAAGTGATGTTACGTGTAGGTTCGCATGGACAAAAGGATCGAGTACCCGATGCGGATAGAGCGATTCCCAGTGCGGTCATCGAGTACTCGGAATCGGACAAAAAAGGGGGCCCGAGAAGTACGTGTACGTACGTAATTAGGCAGATAAAAGGTAGGTGATTCTTACCTCCTCCTCCTCCCCCCCCCCCCGGTTTTTTTGTACGTGTACGCGAGCAAAGGAGGCACGCGGGGTGTACAACACACGGGAGCCAGTTTTAATTGCCGCGGGGGGTAAGTGTAATGCGTCTTCGAAAGCGTCGTCGTGCTTTTCGGGAGAGGCTTCGCGGAATTAATCAGCTCGGCGCGCTCGACGTTTTAATTGAACGATTTTTCATGAGTAATTGCCCCCCACCTATTTTTTTTTATTTTAGCGTGTGCATGCGCACACAAGTCCGGGCTTTTTGGAAAAATAACTATATCTTTTTGGTGATTTCAATTGATATTGCTTTAAAAATCGTTAAAATGAATAAAATCAATGCGCATGCATGCAGAATCAACCATGCGAGAATAAAAAATTATAACTTATTTTCCATGTATACCGCAGATCTACGTGCACTCCAGTAAGTACACGTGGCTTTGCGTGCACAGGGCAATCATTACAGGTAAGTTAATCCTAACGATTTTTCTTATCCTCGCTCGGATCACACTTTTACCTATATTTTTATTAGCGTTTCAAACTTTGAGCTCGTGGCATTATGTTTAAAACTAATTACAACCACACAATATAGATATGGCTTTTTTTTTGTTGAATCGTTCATATATAATATGTATATAAATATATGTATATGATATGTATATAATAAATATATAAATTTTTATTTCGAACGACGCAGATTTTTTCTCCCATTGATGGAATCCAAAGTCATTCAAAGTTTGTGGTATCCTCTCATCACACCCATAAGCTTATTCCTGTCTCATATATCACTGTCTCGTGATGTTGCTGCTGAGCAACTTTTTTTTTTTTTCTTTTTTTTCTTTTGACATTTACATAAATTAAACACGCGTCTCATTATCATATCAGCCTTTTTTGACCTCCCTTTTTTTTCCATACTCGTATCCTCTCCATATTATGCGTATTTAAACACTCCCAAATCTCGTCGATACAGTGATGACATCATGGTTTTAAAATTTTTTGAGGTGGAAAAAAACGAATGGATGAAATTTACAAATTTTGCAGTATTTATTGCTGCATATACATTTCACTTAAATTTTCGTAGATACCACAATCGAGAAACGGAGGATGATTTTTACTGTTAAATGTACTCTCGGCAAAAAAACTTTGTTTTAACGTTTTTATCCCCAAAGATAAAATCACTACACAACTGCGCGGTTTCTCTTGACCGAAAACAAACTCACAAATATAAACTTCCGTACGTAAATGTTACAATATTATTTCTGTGTATGTTAAAAATAAACAAAAATAAAAATACGTCCCTCCGATCTACAATGGAAGTACAGTGACCACAATAGTCTCTGGAATCAATGGAAGTCATTGACACGATAGACCCATATATATATTTTTCTATTTCCACTCCTCTTCTTCTGGAAAAACAAACGACCTCGAGTAAATCGACCCCAAATCATCAAATATATATATTTTTTCCTGTCCAGCTCGTGCGCACGCGAAACGTCCGATCACCAGCATCATCCTCGTAAACTCGATGATGGGATTAAAATAGAAAAAAAAAAAAAAAAACACGCGCTCTCGCGGTAAAAGAGACGTCGCTGGTGGTGGACGGAGAGAGAATGAGAATTGGCTGGTGGTGGTGGTCCGAAAAAAAGTCCTCCTCGGTCGAGGTGGGAGGAACTAAAATTAGTATGGGTTTAATCCCACCGCGTGATGATTTTTTACGTTTT